GCGATGAAAACAGACTCAGATCAACAGAATAGAACCGATGGCAAGGAAACAAATCAAATCTATATGTTCAATTAATCCACAACAAAGGAGCCAAGAATATACAACAGGGAAAGAATAGTCTCTTCGGGAGAGTGAGTCAGGAAAACCGGAAGGCCACATGCCAAAGAATAAAACCGCACCACTTTCTCACACCATATACAAAAATTAACTCGAAATGATTCAAAGACCCGAAACCATAAAACTCTTAGAAAACAGGCAATAAGCTCCTTGACTTGGAACTTGGAGATGGGTGTTTTAAATACATCAACAGCAGAGGCAACAAAAACAAAATAAACAAGCAGGACATCATCAAAGTAAAAAGCTTCTGCAGAGAAAAGAAACCATAAACAAAATGGAAAGGCTGCACGTTGAGTGGGAGAAAACATCCCCAAATCATATATCTGGTAAGATGTTAATAGCCAAGATATATAAAGAACTCATACAACTCAAAAGAAAAAAAAATCTGATTTAAAAATTTGGCAGATGGGGGGGCGCCTGGATGGCTCAGTGGGTTAAAGCCTCTGCCTTTGGTTCAGGTCATGATCCCAGGGTCCTGGGATCGAGCCCCGCATCGGGCTCTCTGCTCAGCAGGGAGCCGTCTCCTCCTCTCTCTCTCTGCCTGCCTCTCTGCCTACTTGTGATCTCTGTCTGTCAAATAAATAAATAAAATCTTAAAAAAAAATAATAAAATAAAATAAAAATAAAAATTTGGCAGAGGATCTGAATAGACATTTCTCTATAGAAGACATGCAGATGGCCAAGAGATGTTCAACATCCCTAATCATCAGGGAAATACAGTTCAAAACCACAATGACATCTCACCTCACACCTGTCAGAGTGGATATATCAAAAAGACAAGAAATAACATTGCTGATGAGGATGTGGAGAAAAGGGAACCCTCGTGCACTGTTGGTAGGAATGCAAATTGGTGCAGCCACTGGGGTAAACAGTATGGAGGTTCCTCAAAAAATTAAAAATAGAACTGCTGCATGACTTAGCAATTCTATTTCTGGGTATTTATCTGAATAAAATAAAAATACTAACTCAAAAAGACAGATGCATCACCATATTCACTGAGGCATTACTTACAATAGCCAAGATATGGAAACAAACTTGTCTTGTGGACAGATGAATGAATAAAGAAAATCAAACAAGAAAAAATATGTATGTATCTCCACAAAATGGAATATTATTTAACCATTAAAAAAAAGAACGAGAGAAATCCCACCATTTGTGACAACACAGGTGGACCTTAAGGGCATTATGCTAAGTGAAATAAGACAGGGAAAGACAAATACCATATCACTTTTACAAAGAATCTAAAAATTAAAGAAAAAAACAACCCAAGCCAATAAATACAGGGAACAGACTGGTGGTTGCTTGAGGTGGGGAGGTGGGGGTGGGCCAATGGGTAAAGGGAGTCAAAAAACACAAACTTTAGTTATAACATAAATAAGTCATGGGGATGTAATGTACAGCACGGCACATATAGTTAATAACACTGTATTGCATATTTGAAAGTTGCGAAAAGAGTATTATCTTAGAAATTGTCATCAGAAGAAAAATATTCTGTAACTAAGTATAGAGTTATTGTGCTGATCATTTTGCAATATATACAAATTCAGATCACTATGCTGACCACCTGAAATTAATGTAATGTGGCATGTCAATTACACCTCAATAAAATAATGAAGGTGGGAAAAAAACTCATGTTCACATAAACAAAAATAAAAATGAAAAAAATAATTATTTTCTATTAGCTGTAAACAAAAGAAAAGCAATACATAACTTAAGATAAAGTTGAGTTGGTATGGAAGATGCCACAAGCAGAAACAGAAAACGAGACAAGATTATTTGGGGGTAACCCTCCTGTTGTAAATAAATAGGAAAGCTGGGCAAATCATTTAGGAAAAAAAGTTTGAGACTATTAAAGAGCTTCCAAGGCAGTGAGTATTTTCGGTGTCAAAAATCCCAAAAGGGAGGCATCAAAAAGTCAAATATTGTTCTCTCCCCACTATGTGAGCATACCAATGAGAAGACCGTGATCTGTAAACCAGGACAGGGATTCCACCAAAACCCACCCATGCTGGCACCCTAACCTTGCACTTCTATCCTCCACAGCTGTGAGAAAGGAATGTTTGTTGTTTAAGCCAAAAAAAAACACAAAAAACAAAAAACAAAAACAAAACAAAAAACCCCTCAAAAACAAAAACCTAGAATAAATCTAACAAAAGATGTGTAAGTTCTCTGTTTAGAAAATTATAAAACATCGAGAGAAATTAGAGAACATCTATGTTAGTGGAATGACAAAGCATGTTCACGAACTGGAACACTAAATAATATAAAAATGTCAATTCTTCCCAAGTTGATCTCTAGATTCGATGCAAACTAAATCAAAATTCTAGCTACGTGTGTGCATGTGTGTGTGTAACCTGACAAGTTGATTCTAAAATTTAAATGGAAGTACAAGCGGTCAAGAACAGCCAAGAAATTTCAAAGAACAAAGTTGGTGGGTTATTCTACCGGATATCAAGACTTAAAAAAAACCTGTATTAAGACAGTAATGGTAATGGCACAAAAACAGATCAAAACAACAATGGAACAGAACATACTCTGGAAAAAGACAAAACATATATAGACAACTGACGTATGACAAAGACGTCCTTATAGGAAAAGGACTTTATTTCAACAGTGTTGAGACAAATGGATATTCATACATGGAAAAAAAAAAAAAAAGAATCTTAACTCCTCTTCAAAGAACAGGCAAAAATCCACTCCAAGTGGATTGTAGATCTAAATATAAAAGGTAAAAAAATAAGTCTTATAGATAGGAAAATATCTTCATAATTTGGGGATAATGAAAGATTTAACAAGATACAAGAAACACTAAGAGGAAAATGGTCAGACTACTATTATTTAAAGTTACTTTCATTCACCAAAGACACCATTAAGAGAGTGAAAAGGCAAGCCACAGATACTATAGGAATCCAAAGATAAAGTTCAGAAATAGGCAAAACAGGCAAAAACAGTGTTAGAGAATGGATTAGCAGTCACCTGTGGGGAGGAGGAAGAGGACTCACTAGAAGAAATAGGGAGGAGGTTCTGGGATCCTGGTAATCTTCTATTTCTCATCTAGGGTGGCGTGGTGACAAGGGTATGCTCATTTTGTGATAATTCACTGACCTGCACACTCACAAATTAGCCACGTTTCTGTTTGAATGTTATACTTCAATAAAAAGTTTCCTCAAAAAATTTTGGGGGTGGCTGACTGGCTCAGTCAGTAGAACATGTGACTTTTGATCTCGGGGTTGTGAGTTCGTGCCTCATGCTGGGGATCAAGATAACTTTAAAAAAATAAAGTCTTAAAAAAAAAATGTCAGTGTGTACTATTAAATCCCTGTCCTTTTCAAAAGACACCTTAAGGAATGTCCTTTTCGGTATATAAATAATTCTGGGTATACTCTTGAAATCTTTCTTTCAAGCATATCATGGAAATTTCCTTGCTGGTGCGGTAAACTTTTTTTTTTCTTAAGATTTTATTTATTTATTCGACAGAGGGAGAGAGATCACAAGCAGGCAGAGAGGCAGGCAGAGAGGGGAGGGGAAGCAGGCTCCCCGCCGAGCAGAGAGCCCGATGCGGGGCTCGATCCCAGAAGCCTGAGATCATGACCTGAGCTGAAGGCAGAGGCTTAATCCACTGAGCCACCCAGGCGCCCCAGTAAACTAACTTTTAAGGCTAACCATCATGAATTGGGGTATTCTGTTTCGGGTCTTCAATACTGGGGTCGAGGCAGAGCACAGAGATCAGCTATTTTGCTCCCCCTGAATCACTTCCCATCAGGCCTTCTAGTTTACTGCATACTCGCACAACCTCGAGAGGCTATTCCCCTAACAGAAAAAACTGGTCATTTGGAAGAATGCTCCTCTATTTGTAACCCGTGCTGGTTTATACCCAGACTACTGCACTCCGCAGATCTGACTGTATTTCCAAATTCTGGCACCTGGTTGTCAGGGTAGCTAGCTAGGAAGGTAGAGTGCAGCAGGAACGCTTCCCTACCCTTGGCCTGGCTGGATTACCCTGCCTGTAGGCTAAACCTAGTTTCCTCCAGCCTCTAGACACTGACACCCTCTCAACTCCTCCAACCTTCAGTGGCGAAATGTGCTCTTAACGGCTTTCAAACCACAAGCTAGAGCCACAGTATAAAAATGAGGTTTAGGGGCGCCTGCATGGCTCCGTCAGTTGGACGTCCGACTCTTGATTGCAGCTTAGGTCTTGATCTCAAGAGTCGTGAGTTCAAGCCCCGTGCTGGGCCCTTAAAAATTCTTAAAGAATGAGGTTTAGTTGACCAGACTAGAGCTGGTTGAACGAGGGGCCCCAAGTGGCCCATGTGTTACCCAACCAGGCTGCATTCTGCTCAGTGCTCATACGTCCTCAGGTTGGTAGACCAGAAGCAAGGAGCTTCGAAGAAAGTGTGCATGAAACACCAGTGTGAGGACAGGCAAAGAGCGGCGAGACGACCCCTGCCACTCACTGCAAATCTCTTCAGTGAAGAGACCGCTGACCTTGTCTTGCCACATAAAAGGACCATTTTTCTACCATATCTTCTAATGAAACCCGTTACCAGTACTGGAGAGCGCTGGTCCACTTGTCCCCTGTCCAGACTTGCCCGACACAAATCCTCTGGACGTTTCGGAGGAAGTGCCAGCTCCGACGATTTGCTTTTGGAACTCAGGGTATCCTGGGGCCTCTGTCCCGCAGGGACCCCTCTAGGACCTCGGAACAGAAGCCTCGTCATGTTCCAGCACCCTCGCTCACAAGCAACATTCTGCTAGTGATTCCACGGTCGCTATGGAGTGGTGGTGGCAGCAAGAATCCTCAGCCAAGTGACGGATGGGCACGGATGGGTTGCTCGGGGAAGTACAAAAGGACAGTCCAGCAGAGAGCTGGCAATCTCACTTACCGAGGTCTACGAAAAGATGCTTTTCTCCTACATTATTCTTCACAACTAAAAATGATAGGTCAGGACTGTTTAGCTCAGCTGAGCCCGGGCTCTCCCGTTCCTTTGAATTCCAGGCCCAGCTCTCTCCTCTGTCTGTATCTGAGGACGTTTTGCTACAGGAAATTCCTTGTTTAATTGGCGTTTCAGGAAAATGGGAAAATTCATGGCCCGCGGTCTCTGAAGTACTATCGTCATCTTCCCTGCCAATTAAATGAAAAGCAGGCTGCAAAATTTTTCTCACAAAATTACCTAGAAAAAAAATATTATGATTAATCTAATTCTTTTCTACAAACTGTAACTCAAGATCTAGGCACAAATCTACATATGACAGTTTTATACAGTAAGGCTTTTTTTTGATTTCTGGTTTTAAAACTGAGCTGTTATTACAAACTGTAACATACTTCTGCTGTTACTTCCTTCCTCTTGGGCAATCTTTTACTTTTTCAATTCCCACTGACAGGGTCACTTGGCATCACTTATAATAAATATCATAAAAGACGTGCCACCAGGGGCCCCTGGGTGGCTCAGTTGGTTAAGTGTCCAACTCCTAATCTCACCTCAGGTCTTGAACTCAGAGTTGAGAGTTCAAGCCCCACATTGGGCTCCACACTGGGCATGGAGCCTACTTCTAAAAAAAAAAAAAAAAAAAGATTCCACCAAAACACTGCTAGAACTAAGACATGAATTCAGCAAAGTCGTAGGATATAAAATCAATGTACAAAAATCTGTTGTATTTCTATACACCAATGAATAAGCAGCAGAAATAGACATTAAGGAATCCATCCCATTTACAATTCCATCAAAGACAGTAAGATACCTAGGAATAAACCTAACTAAAGAGGTGAAAATCTGTATTTTGAAAACTAGGAAATACTTATGAAAGAAATTAAAGAGGACACAAAGAAGTTGAAAAACATTCCATGTTCCTGGATTGGAAGGACAAACATCATTAAAATGTTTGTACTACCCAAAGCAATCTGCACATTTGATGCAATCCCTATCAAAATAATACTAGCATCTTTCACAGAGCTAGAACAAATAATCCTAAAATTTGCATGGAACCATAAAAGACCCCGAATAGCCAAAGTGATCCTGAAAAAGAAAACCAAAGGTGGGGACTTCACGATTCCAGACTTCCAGCTCTATTACAATGCTGAAATCATCAAGACAGTATGGTCCTGGCACAAAAAACAGACATAAAGATTAATGGAACAGAACGGAAAACTCAGAAATGGGCCCACAACTATATGGTCCACTCATCTTTTACAAAGCAGAAAAGACTATCCAATGGAAAAAAGATGGTCTCCTCTACAAATGGTGCTGGGAAAACTGGACAGCAACATGCAAAGGAATGAAACCGGACCACTTCCATACGCCATACACAAAAGTAAATTCAAAAATGAAGGAAGGACCTAATTGTGAGGAAGGAAACCATCAAAATCCTCGTGGAGAACACATGCAGCAACCTCTGTGACCTCAGCTGTAGCAAATTCTTACTAGACATGTTGCAGGAGGCAAGGAGACAAAAACGAAAATGAACTATTGGGACTACATCAAGATAAAAAGTTTCTGCACAGTGAAGGAAGCAATCAGCAAAACTAAAGGCAACCTATGGAATGGGAGAAGATACCTGCAAAAGACCTATCTGATAAAGGGTTAGTATCCAAAGTCTATAAAGAACTTATTAAACTCAATACCCATAAAACAAATAATCCAGGGGCACCTGGATGGCTCAGTTGGCTGAGTATCTAGTTCTTGGTTTTGACTCAGGTCATGATCTCAGAGTTCTGCGACTGAGTCCCATGTTGGGCTCCGGGCTCAGTGGGGAGTCTGCTTGAGGATTCTTTCCCTCTGCTCCTCCCCCTGATCTCTCTCTCTCAAAACAATAAATAAGTCTTTAAAAAACAAAAAGAAATAATCCACTTAAAAAAATGGGTAGCAGGGGTGCCTGGGTGGCTCGGTGGGTTAAAGCCTCTGCCTTTGGCTCAGGTCATGATCCCAGGGTTCTGGGATCGAGCCCCACATCGGGCTCTCTACTCGGCAGGGAGCCTGCTTCCCTCTCTCTCTGCCTGCCTCTCTGCCTACTTGTGATCTCTGTCTGTGAAATAAATAAATAAAATCTTTAAAAAAAAAAATGGGTAGCAGACATGAATAGACATTTTGGCAAAGAAGATATCCAGAGGGCTAAAAGACCTATGAAAAGATGCTCCACATGAGTCAGCATGAGGAAAATACAAGTCAAAACTACAGTGAGATACTACCTCACACCAGTCGGAATGGCTAAAACTAACAAGTCAGGAAAGGAAAGATGCTAGTGAGGATGTGGAGAGAAGGGAACCCTCTTACACTGATGGTGGGAATGCAAACTGGTGTGGCCACTGGGGAAAATAGTATGGAGGTTTCTCAAGTTAAAAATAGAACTATCCTATTGACCCAGCAACTGTACTAGGAAGCTGGGTACAAAAATACAGATTCAAAGGGGCATGTGCACTCCAGTGTTTATAGCAGCATTATCAACAATAGGCAAACTATGGAAAGAGCCCAAGTGTCCACTGTCTGATGAATGGATAAAGATGTGGCATGTACATGCGCGCACGTGCGCACACACACACACGCTGGAATACTACTCAGCCAGTATAAAGAATGAAATCTTGCCATTTGCGATGACTTGGATGGAGCTAGAGTATATTGTGCTAGGCGAAATAAGTCAATCAGAGAAAGACAAATACCATATGATTTGACTCATGTGGAATTTACGAAACAAAACAGATGAACATATGGGAAGGGATAAAAAAAAAAAGAGAGAGAGAGAGAGACTAGAAGGAAACCAAACCATAAGAGACTCTTAAGGATAGAGAACAAACTAAGAGTTGATGCAGGGAGGTGGGTGGGGGCTGGGCTAAATGGGTGGTGGGTGTTAAGGAGGGCACTAGATGTGATGACACGGGGTATTCTGTGTAAGTGATGAATCACTAATCTACCCCCTGAAACCAGTGGTACACTATATGGTAACCAACTAGAATTTAAATAAAAATCTAAAACTTAACCAGTGACCTGACCTGCAAGATTCTCTAATTACTATTATTTTAAAATAAACTTTTTTATTCCAGTGTAAAAGTTAAAAATAAGTAAATAGATCATCTTACAACGGAAGGTTGGTTTGAGGAGAGGTGTCACTGTTACTACCATCAACCTGGGCCTAACATACGGTCACCAAGAAAGCATCACTTTGATTTTATTTTTAAAGATTTTATTTATTTATTGGAGAGAGAGAGAGAGCCGAGCAAGAGAGAGCACAAGCAGGGGTTGGGTCAAGGGAGAGGGAGAAGCAGACTCCTCCCTGAGCAGGGAACCCAACGCCTTAGGGCTTGATCCCAGCACCCTGGGATCATGATCTGAGTCGAAGGCAGGTGCTTAACAACTGAGCCACCCCCCAGGGTGCCCCGAGAGCAACACTTTTATTAATACAAATTGAGTAAAATGTGTCTTGACAATTAATGGGTTAAAGAATGAAAGGTTTATGTGCATCAGCAGTGCTGCCAGGGTAACGCACATAAACGCCGCCATCATCTCCTTGAGTCAGGCTGTCAGATTTCTCAGAGCTGCCTCTCTCTCCTTTTCCTGCCATAATATGCCCTGGAAACCCCGACATTCCCAGCCATCACTTCCACAACTACTGTTCCTCCTGCTTTTCCTTCTCATTGGCCATGAGACGGGCGGGCTGTGGCACCGTAACTGAAGCCCAGACTGAAAGCAATTAAATACGTGTATGGCATTTCAGCACTTACTCCAAGAGCTCTAACGACTAGCAGGCCTACCTTTACCAAGAAAAGATGGTACAACAATCCAGAACTTCTGGAACTCTCATGTACCATTTATACCATATATTCAAGTGAGAATTTGGTTAAGTTGCTTCATATATAACAATACTGGAGAAATGCAGTGTGGTAAGAGAAACTTCATTTTAATTTCTAAAACTGCTATTGTCGGGGTTTGTCACTTTATTTACCAGACAGTTTACACTTTTTTTAAAAGATTTTATTTATGGGCGCCTGGGTGGCTCAGTGGGTTAAGCCTCTGCCTTCGGCTCAGGTCATGATCTCAGGGTCCTGGGATCGAGTCCCGCATTAGGCTCTCTGCTCGGCAGGGAGTCTGCTTCCTCCTCTCTCTCTCTCTCTCTCTGCCTGCCTCTCTACCTACTTGTGATCTCTCAGTCAAATAAACAAATAAAAATCTAAACATATATATATATATATATATTTAAAAAAAAAGATTTTATTTATTTATTTGACAGAGAGTGAGAGAGCACAAGCAGAGGGAGTAGCAGAGGGAGAGGGAGAAGCAGGCTCCCCACTGAGCAGGGAGCCCAACATAGGACTCGAACGCAGGACCCTGAGATCATGACCTGAGCTGAAGGCAGATGCTTAACCGACTGAGCTACCCAGATGCCACCAGCTTAAACTTTTAAATCACAGGATACACATGCTTTAAATTCAAAATTCTCTTTCTCCATATTACTCTCTGCTCAATGAAACAAACCCAGTAGCTCATAAAACACTATACATCAAAATGAAAGTAGAAGCATTTGATCTTTGCACTGATATACAGGCACGATTATCTCTGGAATGAGGGAACTGAGGGTAAATACTGAGTAAAAAGAAATCATGATGTAGCACAGGGCAACAAAGCAATACGAACATAAATGGGTAACGTTAATGTTCCCGGAAATTACATCTATTTGACGGGAGCAGTGGGAGAAGTGAAGGCACGGCGGTGGGACTGCCTGGGAAGGGCGCCCTCGGCAGGCCAGGCGGTCCTCTAATCTCTGGCAGGGAGCTAAGGTCGCCAGGACACAACAATGACAGTGTCAGCAGCATGAAAGTCCAGCACAGGCTTCCAGTTCCTTCCCCAGGCTTATCGCCCTTGCCCTTGCCCTCCTCATCAATGCAGGGACAGGTGTTTTACTGCCGGGGATAACTCAAAAGAACGTATCAATCCCAGGAATTTCAGATCCTACAGCAGGCTGGCAGAGGTGTGTTTCAGGCAGAGCAAACTTACACACTTGGCCAACATTCTCTGATTGCTTACGCTTACTCTAATTCTACTTTCTGGCAGGCTGACAAGGGGAGCTACAAATGTCACCAAGACATACGTGGAGGGACGGGAACTGGAGGGGAAATCTTAGCCTAATTTCATCATCTCTGCATCTCCGGTCCCGGCAGTCCATAATTCTGGAGGAAAGAAATTTCGGCCCCCTCTGCCCTCCCCGCCCCAGGTTAGCCTCAAACTTGTATCTCCATACTTCTGTGTAAGCTGTCCTGCCAGTAAAGCCTTTCTTACTTTGTTTCTCTAAGGAAATCGGATTTAAAGCCAGCTTGAATGTCTTCTGCTTTCAGAAGACATCTGCAGCAGAGACTGCTAATTACCTGACAAATCTCTATTCCCCGCCCTCTCTAGCAACCAGTCTCGATGCTCAGCCTTCCGCTGGGAGCCGCAGAGCAGACTCCAGGAGTGAACAGGATGAAAGACACGTCTTGCTTAAGACCGTGGCATGGGGATCTCGGTGCTAGAACCTTCTTAGCAGTCTTCCACTCCCCACATCCTTATCAAATGCCTGCTTGTATTTTATTGCTGTGGCACTATTATCGATAAAGACATTATTACACGCTAAGCTCTGGAAAAATAAAAAGTGAATAAGAAACTGTCCCTGCCCTAAAGAAACATTACGTGGAACTTAAGTAAAGAATACAAACGACGACGACAACAGAAAAACTACCTCCGAAGTGCTTGAATGCTTGGATGCCAGAAGTCCTGGGCTCGCTACAACCCAGATGAAACACCATCCTTAGTCTTAGGGATGTGACAGAAATGGCTGTTCATCTGATGATATCTACACTGAGACCAGGTAACTGTGGTATGTCTTTTCAGAGAGCAGCACCCAAAAGTCCAAAGGCCCACGGACAAGAGAAAATGTGGCCCTGGTGAAAAAAGACCTATTTTGTACCAGGACTGGCCCTTGTGACTCTCATTTATGACTACAAGAGGCCCTTCAGTAACAATCATCAGGAAATTCTGAAAAAATAAAGGTCTATTACTTATAAGACCTGAAAATTACACAGTCTACCTGGGGCCACACAGCACGCACTCAGGTAGGGAGCGCAAGCACAGGTGGGGACCTGGGCTCATGCCTTCTTGGTGAATTTAAAACATAAGCAGGAATTTAAAGCAAGGAAGAGAAAACAAGACGCCCAAAAGGTGAGTTACTGAACTCAATCAAGATTTCTGAATCCGGGGCGCCTGGGCGGCTCAGTGGGTTAAAACCTCTGCCTTCAGCTCAGGTCATGGTCTCGGGGTCCTGGGATTGAGCCCCGCATTGGGCTCTCTGCTCAGCAGGGAGCCTGCTTCCTCCTCTGTCTCTGCCTGCCTCTCTCACTACTTGGGATCTCTATCAAACAAATAAATAAAATCTTTAAAAATACATATAAAAAAAAAAGATTTCTGAATCTGAAGAGCCTTAGTGGGTGGGGTGTGGCGGCCCACGTTTACTGAGACAGCAGTCTTGGAAACGGATGCCTCAGCAATCGAAGCTTAAGTCAGGCAGTCGCATTACAACCAAACAAAACACTGGCAGGGTTTACACTACAAGGGTCAGGTGGTGTGAGAGGAGGCTAGCGCACAGCGGGCCTCTGTGCACACTAAGACATCTGGACATTCTTCCGAAGGCGACGAGCAGTCCCGGAAGGCTGAGGCACATCAGCGGCACAATCAGATCCGTCCAGCCAGCTGACTGAATAAGGAGGCTGAGAGAAAACAGAGCTCGGAGAGGACACCAGCATTTCCACTTGGGCAGTTGGGCAGATGATGGATACTACTTGCTGATTTACATATCACAGGAGAAAGGGCAAGGTTAGGGGGAAAATGAGGCATGTGGTCAAGGAATGCTGAGTTTGAAGTGTCTATGTTGGAATGTTTAATAGGCAGTTGGCTGTATGGGTCTGGCATCGAGGACAATCCTGGCTGAAGGTGAAGACTTATGGCTCTGATTACCATCTATGTGTTGACTTGAGAGCAGATGATAATCAAGGTTATGGGTAGAGGGAACAGAGGGACAAAAGAGATTCTACAATTATCAATATCTAAGGGATGAAAGAAAGACAGAAGGAATGTCCAATGATGCAACACAAAATAGGGAGATAATAGGAGCCCCTCAAACATAGCAAACTAGGTCACTGTGACCTAGCATTAGTCTAATTTAGCAATTAGGTTCCTGACTTCTATGCTAGTCCTTTAGTGACTATGTTCATGCCTTTTCCCCTAGGTACCCGAGAAACTATCACACAACTGTAGTTCTGAAATGCATGACCTATCACATGCACTTTGGTTAATCATCTGCCATTCAGAGCTAGAAATACTCGTTCTACTGCTGCTCCCATCAACAATCGGGATTTGGGCTTCTATTCAGACCTTGATTTTCAGTGTTTCCCATTCTGCCTACTTGCTCCCCCTCAGACTGACTCCATTTCCATACGGGGGCCTGCATCTCTCAATGTCCGGTACCAGACAAACACTCTCGGGCTTATATATGTGGACATTTTCCCAATCCTGAGGTTCAGTCTAGAGCAATAAACAATAAAAAAGCCTCTCCAGGTGCGGTTTGGAGCCCAAGCCCCAGTCCTCACAGACTAAAAGCTAAGGCTAATGCAAGGCTGAAGCGAAGGACAGAAATACAGCTCTGATGCACCACAGATAAGATCTGAACTGGGCCTCTCGTGCATTACCCAGGAAACTTCTGAAATGTCTCCTGTTGGAGCAGAAACCCATACCAGGCAATGCATGACCATCTCACAATCTCTAGCTGGAGGCACTAATGCCAAGGGCGTCCTGAGGAGGTTAACATGTCTGAAATGTGTCCAGAAGAGGAAGGTAGGTCTAGAACTAAAGGCAAATCCTGAAGATGTGCAAAATCACACTTCATTACTTAGGATAGGGCAAGAACCATAAAACCCGACAAATACTTACACAACCTTAAGAGGAAAAGGAAAATATGAGGATTTTAACAGAATTCCATGACTTTTTAAAAAACAGTACACTTACCAACATGAATGTTATCTTTAAATGCCACATCATGAAGCTGAAATATTAGATGACGGCTAAATTTTTCATCAGTGCTGGAATCCAAGTTGAAAACATCTTCAGGTGAACAATTAACCCTGTATAGCTCTTGAAGTGCTTTACAAACATGCTAAAAACACAGGTAAAATGTAAATAATTAGTATTTGAAATTGTTTTAAAATTTTTCCATGAGGAAATTCAAATATATTGGTACAACTCTAACTCATTTTTTATTTTATTTATTTTTATTTTTAAAAAAAGATTTTATTTATTTATTTGACAGACAGAGATCACAAGTAGGCAGAGAGGCAGGCAGAGAGAGAGAGGAGGAAGCAGGCTCCCCGCTGAGCAGAGAGACCAATGTGGGGCTCAATCCCATGACACTGAGATCATGACCTGAGCCGAAGGCAGAGGCTTCAACCCACTGAGCCACCCAGGCGCCCCTCATTTTTAAATTTTATTATCTGAATATTTACAATGTAACAATTTCACCAAATTACTGATACATAGAAATATACATCACATTTAAATTATCCCACAAGTTCTGAGAGTCATAGACTCTCAAGAGTAAAGACGTCCTAAAATTCAAACAATTTATCTTATATATTAATCTCCTCCAAAATCACAATAAATATACTCCTTTTTAAGCAGAGTAAATATATTTCTTTTTAAGCATCATCTCTTCAAGTATCATCTATGAGTTAAAAAGTCACTAGTTTCATTTTTCATAGTTTTAGTTTTTGGAAGGTTCCTCAGACATACTGAGCCAAAATCTACCTCCAAAAATTCAGCCCTCTGGGGCGAGGTGCTACTGACACTGAAGGCAGTTATGCAGTGTAAGAAGGCAGCAAGCCCAGGGGTAAGAGCACCGATTTGGAATCAGAAAGATCTAGGTTTGATTACTGGCTTTGCCACTTACCAGCTCTGTGTGACTTCGGTCAAGTCCAAACCTTACATTCCTTGACCGCAAAATGGGATTATAATCTGACCTAACTTCTGGGATTTGTTTTAAGGAGTAAACGATCAGATGAGAGTAAAAAGTTAGCACATTGCTTGGCATACGTCTCTGCTTAAAAGCAGTAGCTGTGCAGCCACAAAACAAGTCACTTCTGAAACCTGTTTTCCCACTTGCAAAATGAAGTTACTAAGAACTACCATACATGGTTATCTTGACATGAGCAAAAGGCTTATAAACTGCCAAGCACTTAGATACCGAACTTATATTTATTCATGTTATTTTTGCATCATCGTAATAACCCCTCCCATGCTCTCTGTATTCTTCAATAAATTCTCACTTTCTCAGAAGCCTCCTCAATTTTCCTCTACATCCATTCCCCCTTCACACTCTGACCCCGATTATAGTTCTTACAGGGCCACAGTTTTACGTGAATTTGTGTGATTATTTTGACTTGGGTGTCCACTTTACGGAGGCTACCCCTCACCATCCATTCTTTACTGCTTCTGTGGAGACAGAATGCTGTCACCTGGACACCAGGCCACCCAGCATAAAGACCGCACTTCCCAGACTCCCTGGCAGTAAGGTGTGGCCACATGACCAAGTTCAGGCCAATGGGATATGAACAGAAGGAAAGCAGGTGATTTCCAAGTTATGCTTTTACGGGGGAGAGGCATGCCCGGTGACATGGGAGAAGTCACCGTCTTCCACTGACTGGAAAGCAGACATTGTGGTCGTGAGCCACTTGGACAGAGTACATAAAGGCAACATCTCAGGAAACAGCAAAGCAACAAGCCTGGTCTCTGGTGTAACAGAGCCATATCCAGACACTACATGAGGGAGAAATCAAGCTCTATCTTGTTTAAGCCCCTTTTTAAATTATGGTAACTAAAGCTATCCTAATTTGTTATCCCCCATGAGACTATGAATTCTATGAAGGCAGAAGCTAGGTCTCTGTGGGCTAACCCGTGGTCTTCCGAGTGCCTAAACACACTGACACTTACTAGAGGCTGAAACATTTCTGATCAATGAATAAAGTCCGGTTTTATATTTTGGAGCTATACGGAATAAATGTACTGACTGCCTAGGTTAAACAAACAAACAAAAAGTAATCCTAATCATCTAAGTCAACTTTCCCAAGTTAAACTTTAAATAAAAATGTAAGACTGAGCCTGGGTGGCTCAGTGGGTTAAGCCTCTGCCATTGGCTCAGGTCATGATCTCAGGGTCCTGGGATCGAGTCCCACATCGGGCTCTCTGCTCAGCAGGGAGTCTGCTTCCCCCTCTCCCTCTCTCTCTGCCTGCCTCTCTGGCTACTTGTGATCTCTCTCTGTCAAACAGATAAATAAAATCTTAAAAAAAAAAAAAAGACATTTATATATTAAAACTATATGATCCACAAGTTAGAAATATGATTATTTGAGCAATGTTACCTGTCAGTATAGTTCTATAAATGCACTAGCATCAGAGTCCATTCCATTTGGCAGAAGGGGCTTATTAAATTTCATCAGTTGTCATTGCCTCAAAGGATGATATGTTATCACTAGCTATTATTAGTCAGTTACTTCTTAACCAACTGTTAAGATAAGAGTTAATCTAATTTATGCCTCTTCACAGGGGGACTCAAAAGGAAAAGTACTTACTGGGTTATACACTTGTTATACAAAGTAACCAATAAATGAAATTAATCTCCATGTAAATACATATGAAGATTATATTACCTAAAATAATCTGGGGGCAGCTGGGTGACACAGTTAATTAAGTGTCCCACTCTTGGTTCAGCTCAGCTCATGATTTCAGGGTCATGGGAAAGAGCACTCAGCTCTGCCTAAGATTCCCTCTCCCTCTGCCCCTTCCCCTGCTCCTAGGGGCACACACACTGCTATACAGCAGGTAAGCCTAGTTGTGTAGACATTGCTACAAAAGACCACAACTCGATAAAGCAATCTCAAGAAAAAAGAACAGAGCTGGAGGTATCACACGTCCAGATTTCAAACTATACTACAAAGCTACAGTAATCAAAACAGTAAGTACTGACTCAAAAGTACACATATTAATCAAGGAAATAGAGAGCCCAGAAATAAACCCACAATTAAATGGTCAGTTATTCTATGACCAAGAAGGAAAGAATATACATGGATAAAAGACAATGTCTTCAATGAATAGTGTTGGGAAAACTGAACAGCTACATGAAAAACAATTCACTTTCTTACATCACATACAAAAATAAACTCAAAATGGATTAAAGACCTAAACTGAAGACCTGAAACAATGAAACTCCTTGAAGAAAATAAAGGCAATAATCTCTTGCACATTTGTCTTAGCATTATTTTTTGGATCTGTCTCCTCAGTAAAGTGTAACAAAAGCAAAAATAAACAACTGGGACTGTATCAAACTAAAAGCTTTTGCACATTGAAGGAAACCATCAACAAAACAAAAAGACAATCTACTGAGTGGGAGAAGATATTTACAAAAGATATATCTGATAAGGGATTGGGATTAATATCCAAAATATATAAAGAACTCCTAAAATTCAACACCAAAAAAAAAAAAAATCTGATTTTTAAAATATGCAGAAAACTTGAATAGACCTATTCCCAAAGACATACAGATGGCCAACAGACACATGAAGAAATGCTTAACATCACTGATCATCAGGGAAATGCAAGTGAAAATCACGACGAGGTATTACCTCACACAAGCCAGAATGGCGAATATCAAAAAGACAAGAAATAACAAATGTTGGCAAGGATGTAGAGAAAAGGGAATCCTTGTGCACTGTTGGTGGGAACGCGAATTGTGTAGCCTCTATGGAAAACAGTATGGAGATTTCTCAAAAAGTGAAAAATAGAACTACCAAATGGTCCAACAATTCTATTCCCGGGGATTTACCCAAAGAATAAAACAGCAGTAATTCAAACAGACACATGCATTCCTAGGTTTATTGCAGCATTATTTCCAATAGCCAAGATATGGAAGACACCTGTGTCCATGACAAATGAATGGAAAAAGAAGATGTGGTATATATACACACATTAAAATTACTCAGCCATGAAAAAGAGTAACATTTTGCCACTTGTCAGCACCGGTATTATGCTAAGTGAAATAAGTCAAACAGGGAAAGTTAAATGCCACATGGTCTCACTTACCTGCGTAATCTAAAAAACAAAATAAACCAAATAAACCAAAACAGACTCAAAAATCCAGAGAACAAAATGCAGATGCCAGAGGGGAGGAAGTAGGAGTATGGGCGAAATAGGTGAAGCAGATACAAACTTGTGGTTATAAAATATGTAAGTTACAGGGATGTATGCAAAACAATGTAAGCATTATAGTCATTAATATTATAATAAGCTTATATGGTGGCAAATGGAAACCAGACTTAACATGATGAATCTTATATAATGTATATCGTGTTAAATTACTATGTTATAGCCCTGAAACTAATAAAATATTAGATGTCAACTATACTTCATAATAAATAAATAAACCTAAGTAAAGGAGGGGGGAAGCCAAGAAAAAGCTAATATTACATGACTTTTTTTTATGTATTTGCATACATTTTTCAAAAAATTTAAATTTTAAAAGAGTGATTCAACATAATCAGCAGATACTCTTTATCAAAAACATTTTAAGATATATTTTTAAAATTATAAAATGTGTCATCTATAGTTAACATCTAAGAGAAAAAAATTAAGGAGCGCCTCAGTGGCTCAGTCAGTTGGGCATCCGACTGTTGATTTTGGCTCAGGTCATGATCTCAGGGATTCTCTCTCTCCCTCTCCCTCTGTCCCTCCCCCAACTCACATGTGCATACACTCTCTTTCTAAAAAGAAAAAGAAAAGCAAAAATTAAGGGGTGCCTGGGTGGCTCAGTCAGTTAGGCATCCAACTTTTGATTTCAGCCCAGGTCGTGATGTCGGAGTCATGGGATCGAGGCCCACATCTGGCTCTGAGTTCAGCGTGGAGTTGACTTGGGATTCTCTCTCTCCCTCTGCCCCTCCCCTGGCTCGCTCATTCTCTCTCTCAAAATAAAAAATAAAATAAAATAAAAACTTTAACAAATTTTTGAAAAGAAAGAAAACAAACTAATCAATAAATGTTAATACTACTTTCAGCCCAAATAATAGCCAATATAAGTTTAATAACTTATATAATAACTTATATTTTATTATATTTACTTAATATAATAAAATCTTAAAAGATCTTATAAGAAAACATTAATAGACTTTTGTTGAACTAGCCCATATTATTCCTTTTGTTAGTAACTTCCCAGTTGACACTGCTAAACCAAAAATACATACTGGAATGACAGTATTTTCTCTTTGTTAAAAACAAGGATAACTGTACTTCTAGATCATGTTTTACCAATATTATAGGACCTAGAATAGGAGTTTTAAGTTTTTCTAGACCTTAGACTCCTTTATGATGGTGTAAGACAGAATAATTTCCAAAATTCCTCCCAGCACAAAAATTAGGACATAATTTTTAATTCTTGAAAATTCAGCTCAGTAACCAATTTTTACAGTAAAAATTACTTTCCCTAACTTTTATCAGTCAGCTACTTGCAACAGAGTTAATATATAATTTAAAAACAAAGTTTCTGAACTGCCACCTTTCTCAAGTCTTTTTTCTTAAAGATTTTTTTAAAAAATATTTTATTTATTTGACAGAGAGAAACACAGTGAGAGAGGAAACACAAGCAGGGGAGTGGGAGAGGGAGAACAGGGTTTCCTCTGAGGAGGGAGACTGATGCGGGGCTGGATCCCAGGACCCTGGGATCATGACTCAAGCTGAAGGCAGATGCTTAACTGACTGAGCCACCCAGGCCCCCCTCTTTGCTAGGACTTTCTTTTTCTTTTGTTTTGTTTTGTTTTTGTTTTTTTTTAAAGATTTTATTTATTTGACAGAGAGAGATCACAAGAAGGCAGAGAGGCAGGCAGAGAGAGAGAGGAGGAAGCAGGCTCCCTGCTGAGCAGAGAGCCCGGCTCGGGGTTCAATCCCAGGACTCTGGGATCACGACCTGAGCTGAAAGCAGAGGCTTAACCCACTAAGCCACCCAGGTGCCCCTTTCTTAAAGATTTTATTAGAGAGAGAGAGAGAGAGAGAGCATGTGAGGGGAGAGATCAGAGGGAGAAGCAGACTCCCCACAGAACAGGGAGCCTGATGTGGGACTTGATCCCGGGACTCCAGGATCATGACCTGAGCTGAAGGCAGTTGCTTAACCAACTGAGCCACCCAGGCACCCCTCTCAAGTCTATTTTTTATAGATATACTAATATTACAATATATATGGACCTAAATTAAATCTCTGACCATTTTAGAAATTTATTCAGAGAAGTCATATTAAGAAACGAAAATTCAAGAGGAAAAGGAAAAGGAGGTAAAACACAGGACCCAAATATTACACAGGCTGCATTCACTTAATGAATGAATACGTGAATAAAAGGATCTACAGATATAAGGAGAAAAACCTGAGCTTGTAATTTACCTCAATGAGTAATGCAACCATCTTTTTTCCATCAGCTTCTGGATTGGCAAGTTTGTTAAATTCCAAATCAAAATAAAGCTTGCACACAGCATTTTCAGGAATGACTTCATAGCAGTGTAAGAGATTTTTCCTGAATTAAATAGTTCAAGATTGTTAGGTTTATATCTTATACCTTTTGAATCATGGTAGTTGATCTTATATCTCAAGATACTGGACTAACTGTGATTTAATGACATAACTATGGCATAATGAAGACATGACAAACTGAACAATTGCTCCCCTGTGGGTTTACGGATCATCGTATTATTAAGAGCTTCCATCAAAGAAGATGTAACAATCATATGTGGTCACATTATTTACCTGAAAATATGGTCAACCTCATGCTGTTATTTATTCACAGATAATTTTGACACCGTATGACCCTTCTTTATTCTTGGTGTCATGACAGAATGGATCTTGTCTGAGAAAAGAACTTTCTGTCTCGAACTGGAATCCCAGGATCACATGTATTCTTGGGATTGGATAAGCTTTTTACAAGAATTTTTAAGTTTTGTATTTTCATTAGGAAAATAGTATTTGAAAAATTGGCTGGAAACATATTCTGAATCACCTGACTTCAAAGAGTTTGCAGCGCTCACATGTGGATCAAGAGACAGGACTTTAACACAGGTTAATAAAAATAGATACTGCCTCGGTAAATAAATGATGACCTGGGCTAAGTGAAATCCAGATGGCATCCTATAGAAGTAAAAGGTTTGTAATTTGAACAAAAAGTTATGGGGGAATTGTGTCATCACATGCACAAGAACTCACAATACACACAAGATTGCCCCTGACTTTTCTCCCAGCACCTCGTAAGATCATTTAGTGCTGCTATGACACGGAAGCTCCAGAATTCAATTTTACGGATAAAGGAGTAACCAAATGTGGGATGGAGATCCACAACAGTTAATTCAGCCTGCATTAATTTCACCAACATTACTAGATGAAGGAAATGTAACTTTAATGTGTTGTCCTTGACGGACTTACCGGGATTTGTAATAAAACCAAAGTTGAGCATAGGTTGTCACCAGGTAAATACGTTGCCCATCGCCCACTTTGTATTCCAAAGCAAATACGTGAACATCCTTTATAAGAGCAAAAATAACAGTAGAAAAATTAATAAAAGCAGAAATCCAAAAACAACTGTAGCTAGTCAATGCTCATGAAGAATTTTATCAAATTTTGGAAAATTGGAATTTGAGCATCTTTATTCCTAAAAAAAGAAAAAGAATTATTGTGACTATGTCAATCAAAATCTAATTATATTTATTCACTCAAGTAATACATGTTCAAGGCAGAAACCATTCAAATATCCAGACCAAAAAGAGAAAAAAAAGGAGAAAAATCACTTTTCAATCACTCTAGCTTGACTTCCTATTATAGCTTCACTTTCTAGTTTATGAAATTAAACTTATTTCTTTTAAAGACTTATTTATTGGGGCACCTGGGTGGCTCTGCCTTCGGCTCAGGTCAAGATCTCAGAGTCTTGGGGTCAAGCCCCGCATGGGGCTCTCTGCTCAGCAGGGAGCCTGCTTCTCCCTCTCTCTCTGCCTGCCTCTCTGCCTACTTGTGATCTCTGTCAAATAAATAAATAAAATCTTAAAAAAAAACTTATTTATTCATTTATTTATTCATTTTAAAGAGAGAGACAAAGCACACATGCATTAGGGGAATGGGCACAGAGAAAGAGAATCTCAAGCAGACTCTGTGCTAACTGAGGTGCCTGCAATGGGGCTTGATCTCACCAAGACCATGACCTGAGTCAAAACCAAGAGTCTGAGGCTCAGTTGACTGTGCCACCCATTTAAAACTTATTTTTTAAAACAACCTAAATGTTACTATAAATTACTAAGGCGAGGGTTACCTGGGTGGCTCAGTTGGTTAAGCAACTGCCTTCAGCTCAGGTCATGGTCTTGGAGTCTTGGGATCGAGTCCCGCCATCGCACTCCCTCCTCAGTGGGAAGTCTGCTTCTCCCTCTGACCTCTCCCCTCTCATGTTCCCTCTCTCTCATTCTCTCTCTCTCTCAAATAAATAAATAAAATCTTTTAAAAAAATATGACTTAGACTAAATAAATTCTCTAGTACATATAAAAACCTGTGGGCAAAAAATTTTTTAAATTTTTAAAATGTTTTAAATTTTTAAAACATTTGTGTAAGACTATAGTCTTACAAGTGTAAGACTATAAATAGTCTTTTCTAGAAGACACTTTTTTTAAGGTTAATGGCTGTGGCACTTGATATAACCATTTGCATTTGTTGCCCCAAAGAGTTTCTTCTATTAGAGGGATACACAAGTTCTTTTCTTTCCACTTAGTTAATGGTAGCTGTTAAGCCTATCGAGGAAATAAAACTTCCATTTTCAGAAGTGAGATTTCAATGAGGGACTACATTACTGACATTAAAACAATCTTCCTGAGATAAATTTTATAGTTGGTAATTGTTAACTTTAGCAATCATACTCCTATTCTAATTCAAGATCAAATGAACTTGTCAGGATTTTAATTTCCGATACCTGAATTGGGTTTACACAAAATGAACACAAAGGCTGTTATTTTATTTCTTAAACTTTTTTTTAAGATTTTATTTATTTATCTGAGAGAGGGAAAGAGAGAGAGAAAGAGCGCATTTGTGCATAGGAGCAGGGGAAGGGGCAGGGGGAGAAGCAGACTCCCTGCTGAACAGGAAGCCTGCCATGGGGTTCAATTCCAGGACCTTGGGAACCAATCCCAGGACCCTGGGATCATGACCTGAGCTGAAGGCAGACACTTAACCGATAGAACCACCCAGGTGTCCCTATTTCCTAAACTCTTCTGATGAGATCTGAGTTAGCTTCCCTTTACAAGGGAACAAAGGGTCTTCATCCTAAAAAATTTTAAGCACACTGAGTTTTTATATAGTATCAGTGATCAGAATCACAATATATTTATGCTTGACTTCACATATGCACCTTTTCATGCTTTATATTTCCCACAGTGCCAAATAAATGATGTACAATACACATCTGTTTATTTCTGAGCATCAGACCATTTGCAAGGGTAGCAGCCAGCAACCACTCCTTAATCCCAGTTACCTAATAAGTAGGAAATTACTATTATAAATCCACTCTATTATTCCAAAGCACAAAAGGAGGGCACAGAAAGTTAAATACATGTTTGCTTTGGTGGTATGATTTAAGACCCAGGGTTTATGAACTCTACACTATACTATTTGAGACATTTTATTTTCCTATTGCTTCAGTTCCATTTTTCTTCCTCATTTCATCCTTCAAATTTTCATACTCCACTCATTCATTTCCTCACATTTTTGTGGGTATTGTTTTAGTTCACTAAAATCTAGTCATTCTATTATTTTTCAGTCCATGGATATGGTCATTTTTCCTCTAAGCATAACTTCTTTTATTCATTCTTTTGTTTTGTTTTTAAATTTATTTGACAGAGAGAGAGAGTACAAGCAAGGGGAACAGCAGGCAGAGGTAGAGGGAGAAGCAGACTCCCCGCTGAGCAGGGAGCCCACCCTGGGCTGGATTCCAAGACCCTGGGATCATGACCTGAGCTAAAGGCAGATGCGTAACCGACTGAGCCACCCAGACCCCTCAGCATAGCTTCTTTTAAATATCATTATGTGGGAGTAGGACAAAAAGGCTGAATAGGAGGATGCTGAGTTCACCTCCCATGGACACACTGAAGTAACTGCCACAAGTAAGGCAACTTGCTCTGAAAGCAGTCAAAGACCAGCAGAACAGATCCTCCACAGCTAAAGACAAAAGACATAAAAACAAGGCCACATCAAGAAGGGTAAGAGGAGCTAAAGCAAAAATAGGAACCAAACCTTGGTATGGAGAACCACAAGCAGAACAGTTAGCACAGGCACAGAAGTCCTCCATGAAGAGAAAAAGGATCAAGCCCCACATCGGGCTCCTGCACGGGTGCCTACAACAGGAGAACTGAGAACAAGTCCCCATTCCCTATTACATCTGGTTAAGAAAATCACCAGGACAAATACACTAGTATAAATCAGAGCAGATTAGAGGATGCAGATTGTGGAAAGCACCCAAGCTGAACACTGAACAGAAAAGGAAATGAATAAAATAACCATAGTTTAAGGAACCTCTGGGACAACATCAAGGGCACAAACATTCACATTATAGAAGCCCCAGAAGGAGAAAAGAGAAAAAGAGAGAGAAAACTTATTTGAAGCAATGATAGCCTAAAACTTCCCTAACCTGGGGAAGGAAAAAAGAATAACAGCTCTAAGAAGCAAAGAGAGCCCAAACAAGATGAATCCAAGGAAGTGCACACCCAGACACATGATAACTAAATGTCAAAATTTAAAGATAGACTATTCAAATCAGTAAGAGAAATGCAACCAGTTACATATAAGGGAACACCCACAGGTTATAGGTGCATTTTTTTTTTTTTTTCAGCAAAAACTAGGCAGGTCAGAAGAGGATGACATGATTTATTTCAAGTACAGAAAGAAATAAACCTATGTCCAAGAATACTCTACCCAATAAGATTACCATTCAGAAATGAAGGAGAGATAGAGTTTCCAGACAAAATTTTAAAAAGTTCATCACCACTAAACTGGCTTTCCAACAACTGTTAAAAGGACTTCTTTATGTGGAAAAGAAAAGAACATAACTAGAAGAAAATTATGACAGGAAAAAATTTCTCTTATCAAAGAAAACATACAGTAAAAGTAGATCAATCACTATAAAGCCAGCATGAAGGTTAAAGGACAAAAGTAGTTAAGTATTGACATAAATTAGTTAAGAGATATGTAAAATAAATAGATGTAAAATATAGCATCATACACTTAAACACGGAGGTAGGAAGTAAAAATGTAGCACTTTTATAATGTGTTGGAACATCAGCAACCACCAACTTTATAGACTGCCATATACATAAGATGTTATAAATGAACCTCGTGGGAATTATACACCAAAAACCTGTAACAGATACACAAAAAATAGAGAGGAACCCAGGCGTAACACTGAAGAAAGTCATCAATCTCTCCCTGATATGAGGAAGTTGATATGGGGGGGCTTGGGGGGGGTAGGGAAAGAATAAATGAAACAAGATGGGATCAGGAGGGAGACAAACCGTTAAGACTCTTAATCTCACAAAACAAACTGAGGGTTGCTGCGGGGAGAGGGGTAGGGAGAGGGTGGTGGGGTTATGGACATTGGGGAAGGTATGTGCTATGAAGTGTGTAAACGTGGCAACTCACAGACCTGTACCCCTGGGGCTAATAGTACATTATATGTTAATAATAAATAAATAAATAAATAAATAAATAAATAAAAGAAAGTCATCAATCACAAGGAAAGACAGCAAGAAGGAAAAAAACGAGGACTACAAAAACGACCAGAAAACAATGAACAAAATGTCAATAGGTACATATATATCAATAATCACTTTAAATGTAAATGGACTAAATGATCCAATCAAATGACAAAGTGTGACTGAATTGATAAAAAAACCAACCCCATCTATATGCTGCCCACAAAAGACTTCGGACTGAGACATATAAACTGAAAAATAAGGGATAGAAAAAGATATTCCATGCAAATACAAATGAAAAAAAAAGGTGGAGTAGCAGTACTTGTATCAGACAAAATATATTTAAAATCTGTAAAAAGAGACAAAGAAAGGCATGACATAAGAGCTCCTGGGTGGCTCAACCGGTTGAGCATCAAACACTTGATTTCAGCTCAGGTCATGATCTCAGGGTCCTGGGATCAAGCCCCTTGTTGGACTCTGTACTCAGCAGGAAGTCTGCTTGAGATTCTCTCCCTCTGCCCCTCTCCCACTTTGCATGCTCTCTACTAAATAAATAAATATTAAAAAAAAAAAAGGAAAGAAATAGCATGATATAGTGATGAAGGGATCAATCTAACAAGAGGATAAAACAATTGTAAATGTCTATGCAGCCAACATAGGAGCACCTAAATATATAAAGCAAGTATTAATAGACAAAGAGGGAGAAAGTGACAGTAATACAATAATAGTAGGGTAATTTAACACCCCACTTACATCAATGGATAGATCCTCCAGACAGAAAATCAATAAAGTGTATTGGCTTTGAAAGACACATTAGACCATATGCATTTAATAGATTATACAGAACATCTCATCCCCAAACAGAAGAAAATATTCTTTTTCAAGGGCACATGGAAAATTGTCCAAGATAGATCACATGTTAAGCTACCAAACAAGTCTCAATAAATTTAAAAGGACTAAAATCCTATCAAGCATCTGTTCCAACAATATGAAATAAGAAATCAATTACAAGAAAAAAACTGGAAATAACAAACACATGGAGAATAAACATGTTACTACACAATGGGTCAGAGGGGTCAATGGTGTCAATGGGGAAATCAAAGAGGAAGTAAAAAAATACCTGGACACAAGAGAAAATGGAAACGCAATGGCTGGGACACAGCAAAAGCAGTTCTAAGAGGGAAGTTTATAGCAATATAGTCCTACTTCAAGAAACAAGAAAAATCTCAAAAAAGCAATTTAAACTTATATGTAAAGGAACAAGCAAAATAAGAACAAACAAAGTCCAAAATTAGAAGAAAGAAAATAATAAAGATCAGAGTGGAAATAAATGAAATAAAGACTAAAAAGGTAATTGAAAAGATCAATGGAATTAGAAGCTGCTTCTTTGAAAAGATAAACAAAATTAATATAGCCAGACTCATCAAGAATAAAAAAGAAAGGAGCGTCTGGGTGGCTCAGTGGGTTAAGCCTCTGCCTTCTGCTCAGGTAATGGTCCCAGGTAAAAATCCTGGGATTGAGCCCCACATTGGGCTCTCTGCTTGGCAGGGAGCCTGCTTCCCCCTCTCTCTCTGCCTGCCTCTCTGTCTACTTGTGATCTTTGTCTGTCAAATAAATAAATAAAATCTTGGGGAAAAAAAAAGAATAAAATAGAAGACACAAAAATAAAATCAGAGGGGCACCTGAGTGGCTCAGTGGGTTAAGCCTCTGCCTTCGGCTCAGGTCATGATCCCAGAGTCCTGGGATCAAGCCCCGCATCAGGCTCTCTAGTAGGGAGCCTGCTTCTTCCTCTCTCTCTGCCTGCCTCTCTGCCTACTTGTGATCTCTGTCTGTCAAATAAATAAATAAAACCTTTAAAAAAAAAAAACCAGAAATAAAAGAGAATTTACAACTGACATCCACAAAAATACAAAGATTTATAAGAGACTACTACAAGAAAATATATGCCAACAAATTAGACAAACTAGAAGAAATGGATAAAGACTGACTCAGGAAGAAATAGAATGTCTGTACAGATAGATTACTAGTAATGAAAGTGAATCCATAATCAAAAACTTCCCAAAAAACAAAAGTCCAGGACCAGAGGGCTAGACAGATGAATTCTACCAAACATTTAATACAGAGTGCTCAAGCTATTCCAAAATACACAAGAAGAAGGATTTTTTCCCCCTAGGAATGCTTCTGAATTTGTTTTACAAGGCCACCAGCATTACCCTCTAACCCAAACGGACAAAGACACTACAGTTATTCCCTGATGAGCACAGATGCAAAAAATCTTCAACAAAATATAGGCAAACCTAACACAATACATGAAAGGGATCATTCACCATGATCAAATGGGGTTTATTCCAGGGGCGCAAGAATGGTTTTCTATCCACAAATCAGCATCTACAGCACTTTAATAAAATGAAGGATAAAGATCAAACAATCATCTCAATAGACGCAGAAAAAGCATTTGACCCAATTTAACATTACCATGAAACTGTCAACAAAGGGAATACAGAGGAAACACGCCTCAACATAGTAAAGACCATGAATGACAAACCCACAGCCAACATCACACCCAAAAATGAAAAGATGCCCATTCTTCCCACTTTTACTCAATACAGTAGTAGAAATCCTAACCACAGCAATCAGACAAGTAAAAGAAGGAAGAAAAAAAGCCACCCAAATTGGTAAGGAAGGAGTAAAACATACAGATGGCCAACAGACCAACAGACACATGAGGAAATGCTCAACATTACTAATCAGCAGGGAAATGCAAATCAAATCAAATCAAATGATTTTGATGGCTAGTATCACACCAGTCAGAATGGCTAGTGTCAAAAAGATAAGACATGGGGGCACCTGGGTAACTCAGTTGGTTAAGCGTCTGACTCTTGTCAGCTCAGGTCATGATCTTGGGGTCCTGGGATGGAGCCCTGCATCAGACTCAGTGTTCAGTGGGGAGTCGGTTTGAGGATTCTCTCTCTCCCTCTCTCCCTATTCCTCCTCCACCCCGCTCTCTCTAAAATAAATAAATAAATAAATCTTAAAAAAAAAAAAAAAAAGACAAGAAATAACACTGTTGGTAAGGATTTGGAGAAAAGGAAACACTTATGCACCACTGGTGGGAATGTAAGTTGGTGTAACCATGATGGCAACCAGAATAGAGGTTCCTCAGAAAAAATTAAAAATAGAAACACCTGGACGCCTGGGTGGCTCAGTGGTTTAAAGCCTCTGCTTTCGGCTCAGGTCATGATCCCAGAGTCCTAGGATCGAGACCCGCATTGGGCTCTCTGCTCAGCAGGGAGCCTGCTTCCTCTTCTCTCTCTGCCTGCCTCTCTGCCTACTTGTGATCTCTGTCTGTCAAACAAATAAATAAAATCTTAAAAAAAAAAATTAAAAAGAATAGAAACACCATACAACCCATTAATTCTAGTAATTCAGTATTTACCTGAAGAAAATGAAAACACTAATGCAAAAGAATCTATGTCCTTTGTTTCTTTACAATAGCCAAGGTATGAAAGATAGCTGTGTCCATTGATAAATGAAGATAAAGAAGATGCAGTATATATACACCAAAGAATGTTACTCAGCCATAAAAAAGAAGACTTCATTGTCTTGCCATTCACAACAACACGGATGGACCTAAAGGATATTATGCTAAGTGAAATAAGCTACAGAAAACCAAAGATCAAAAGACTTCATTTTTATGTGGAATCTAAAAACAAAACAAATCTAAAATAGACTCATAAAATACAGAGAACGAACGGGTGGTTGCCTGAACAAAGGGGTGTGGAGAGACAGGAGAACTAAGTGAAGGAGATGAGAGTACAATCTTCCAGTTATAAAATACATAAGGCATGGGGATGAAAAGTACGGCATAGGGAATATAGTAATATTATAGTAACTTTGGTGATAGATGGAGACTAGACTTATCATGGTAAGCATTTTGTAATGTGTGTAATTGTTGAATCACTATGTTGTTCACCTGAAACTAATATACTATGTCAACTACATTTCAATTAAAACTTTAAAACATCATTTCAAATCTTTAATTGTCACTACATAGCCCATTCTTTTTCATTATTAATACTAAGTAGATGGTCAAAAATTCATAAGCATAATTTCTGTAAATAGTGTGATATTTCAGATACGTGGGTGGCTCAGTTGTTAAGTGTCTGCCTTCAGCTCAGGTCATGATCCCATGGTCCTGGGATCAAGTCCCACATCAGGCTCCTTGTTCAATGGGGAGCCTGCTTCTGCCTCTGCCTACTGTTCCCCCTGCTTGTGCTCTCTCTCTCTGACAAATAAATAAATCTTAAAAAAAAAAAAAAAAACCCATAATGTGATATTTAGATCACAGCTAAATTCTTTTGATACTCATGTGGACTGAAGACAAACAGACATCTCTTTTTAAAATCCTAAGTTAGAGTAGCTTCAAAAAAAAAAAAAAGGTAGGAGATAAGAAAATTACCTCTTTACAGCTTTTAACAAAATTAAAAGCCTGAGTTTGCCGATGGAATAGTTTCCAAATGGAAGGTGGTTCTTCTGGCTTGGACAATCTTGGTCTGTATACCGAGGGCAACGGTTTCCTCTTATAACGAGATGCTTGTTCTTCAATTTGCTTCAGTTTTGCTTCCCATTTTCTCTCCATTGGTTTAGAAGTTACAGGGAAACTAAATCCTAACCCATGTAAGAGTTCTGTCAATTAGCACTAAAACAAAGACTTAATTTCTTTCTTTAGAATATATTTTTTTGGTAAAACATCAAAAACCATTTCCTTACAGTTATTTCCTTATCTGCCATATATATATATACATATATATATATATACATACACACACAATTATATATATAATACCTAATTTATATTACATATATTCTATATATAGATAGATATATATATATACATACACATAGTTATATAGTTATATATAATACATAATTTATATTACATATATTCTGTATTATATAGAATATATAATACATAATATAATATATATACTATGTATATAAATGTACTATGTATATATATAGTTTTGCATTAAGTTTTAATGTGAAATAGGAATGGGGCTAGTTACCAGATAGCTTTAGATCTTGGCTCTTCGATCTAATAGTGCTATGATTTTAGAAGCACCCTAAGCCTTAACTACAAAATGGGGATCAATGTCATCCTGAACACTTTATGTAATTATCATGAGGATAAATGTGATAGGATGTAAGAAAACGTTTTGTAAATTACAAAGCCTCATGTAAACATAAGCGGCTTTTGTATCATTATGGTTTTTATTATAACCAGTTTATTGCATCAAGCACTATCTATCTTGCCCAAGTGGAGCTACTACGTTGGCCATCACTTTTGTGCTATTTCTTAGTACAGAGTTCATTTCTAGACACTACTGTGCAGTTCCCTTTTCTTCTGTTTCTATCCATTGTTCTTCTTTTCTCCCAACACAGTGGTTAGTTGGGAGAACAATTCAGTGTATAAATGGAACTACAATATTGGTTAGTCTTGGTTTCGAATGTCCATGTTAATCATAAGCATGTTTAGAGATAGGAATACACACATTTTTAACCTATGTCTGTTAATTTAATGACTGTATCCAAGTAGCAGTCTTTTAATCCCTGTTTATTAATGACGTGTGTTTTTTATTTGCACACAATGTTTCCATGTTAGCCATGCCAAGGTAAGGGGGCCAGAAAATACTTTTATGATTTGGGATTACGCTTTACTTACCAAAAAAGGATAGGCTTTTAGAAGGGGAGAAGAGCTTGCATCGTAGGTAAGTAATGGCCACAAAACCTGCCATTCCTCCCTCGAAGAGATGCTATCTAAGTCCACTCACGTACTCTCTACTTGGCCACATGACTTGCTTTGGTCAATGTCACATCAACAAATGTGTAGCAAACCGAGGTGTAGTAAGTGCTTGTGCACTGGATTTGCCCTGAGACCAAGACTGTCCTCAGACTGTCATGCTAGAACTCCAGTCTCACAGAAGATAAAAGGACATGTGGACAAGCACCAAGTTACCTCAGCTAACAGCCAACACCAACTACCAGATACATGGAGTTCAGATATTCTGGACCATCCAGGCATCTGAATTCAACGCCTAAGCAAGCCTGAGTGAGTTCAGGTGAGATCTGCCAGAGACCTCCCCAGTCAACCCACAGAACTGTAAGAAAAAATGAACTATCTTTAAGCCAAGAAGCTTTGGTCTGGCTTTTCATACAGAAGTCGGTAACTGTGAGGCACCTGGGTTAAGCCTCTGCCTTCGGCTCGGGTCATGATCTCAGGGTCCTGGGATTGAGCCCCGCATCGGGCTCTTTGCTGAGCGGGGAGCCTGCTTCCCCCTCTCTCTCTGCCTGCCTCTCTGCCTACTTGTGATCTCTCTCTGTCAAATAAATAAATAAAATCTTTTAAAAAAAAAGAAATCGATAACTGAGGTAATCTCCCTTTTCATTAATATCGTCTTCACTAATAAAATAATTTATCTATGTAGAAAACACATATATTCATTTTTTAAGGTGAAATTACAACATATACTAAGGCATTCGAGGGAAAAATTCCTATTTACCTCTGGCAATGCCTTTTCAGTACTTGTGCTTACCGAATCAATAAATATTCTCTTGAATTCTTGCAGAAAATTTTGCAACACAAACTCAATAGCAAATGATATATGCCCGGAAAGGAAAAAGAGGTTCATCCTAAAAGATTGAGAGGATACAGTATCATGACACTGTTAGATTTCACATTGGACTTCAAACATGTCAGACCTAAGAAAGATTACTTTCTCAATTACACGTGATCCACATGAAAATTATAAATTATAAACCAAGAAACAAACATAATTCTAACGGTATAATATAAACTTCATACCAGACATGCCTAGGAACAGAATATAATTTCACTGGATGGAAGAGCTGGAATAATTTTTAATGAAACGGCTTTTTCCAATGCCAAATGACATAGGACTCCAGACTGCTAGATCCTGAATATTTGGTTTATTTTAATCTGCTTCGCATACCGATAAAAATCCTCCACATTCTGACAACCTAGGTGAGAAACTGACTTTCTTCTCTGAAATGTATTAACTTTTAATAAAGCGCAATGATTACTTAATGAAGAAATAAATACGGGGGCACTTGGGTGGTTTACCAACTGCCCTCGGCTCAGATCATGACCCCAGAGCCCTGGGATGGAGCCCCGCATTGGGCTCCCTGCTCAGCAGGAAGCCTGCTTCTCCCTCTCCCACTCCCCCTGCTTGTGTTCCCTCTCTTGCTGTCTCTCTCTGTGTCAAATAAATAAAATCTTAAAAAAAAAAAAATTAACACAATGCAATTAGATAGGATTTATAGCTCTAGTATCTTATCAGTAACTGACAGAATAACCATGTGGATGTTCACACTTAGTGACATGGACATCCAGAAAACTTTTGATTTGGTAAAAATACTGATACAACCAGGGGAAGGAAGCCATGCATGGAAGTCGTGGAGACACAATGGAAAACCAGTCTGATGCTTCCTGGACCAAAGAAACCACAATGTCAACAAAGGAAAAAGAAGAACTCAATATATGTTATGCTCTCATGTTGTCTGAACAGTTCAAAAATGTTAACAGCTGGGTTGGGGGTCAGAAGACAGCTGGGGGCTGGACTACTGAAGCAGGAGTGCTGAATGACGAAAGGAAAAGGAAAAGGAAATGGAGACGAGAAAGGCATCTGGCATTCTGGTTTTGGACTATCATATTCCTCATCCCTATCCCTTGGGATAAGAAATATGTCACCATTTTGGAAATGCTTTTAATTCCTGGTGTGGAAGGACTGTCGTCCTTCTTTTATATAACTGTACATCAAAAACCCCTTTGCACACAGGGGCTGTTAACTACTTTTGGTAAATTTCCAAGTTCCAAAGAAAAGTATTTGTTGTTTAAAAAAAAGAAAGAAAGAAAGAAAGAAAGAAAGAAAGAAAGAAAAATATTTGTTTTTTTTTTTAAATAGTAGGTTTAAGAACTCTATCATTTGTTTCTTCACAATGTACCACAATGTTAGTTAATTTCTTTCCTTCCTTCCTTTTCTTTTTCTTTTTCTTTTCTCTTTCTTCCTTCCTTCCTTTCCTAAATTAAACTCCATGCCCAATGTGGGGCTTGAACTCACACCAAAGGGTCAAGAATCACATGCTCTACCCACTCAGCCAGCCAGGTGCCCCCCTTCCCCACCTGCCCACGGTGTTATTTCTTAACACTGCATTCAATCATGGTCAATACTGATTTTACAACTAAAGGTGGTCAGCCTAGAAAAAAGGCCGCCTTAGTCCTTTTACAGGAACTGTAGTGGGAGAAGAGGCAGAGAGGAGGAGGTAGAGCGATGACACAGACAGCCAACCTCAGTAGCCCTGGTTTCCCGAGGTTTATGCCTAGATAAGCCCAGCTCAGACACCTGATGGCCTGAACCCCAGGAACAGCTGCAACAGAAGGCACATGTCTCATGATTCCTGGCCTCTAGGGAAAGCTTCCTTCCTCTTTTGTCTATCACAAGTCAACCCCTGTTCCCTCTGTCCTGAGAACAGATTTATCAGTATTTTGTGCTTTCTGGCAGATATGTTCCAGTTTCAATATTTAGTCGTGTTCTGGTATTTGACAATAGTTTTTTTTTGTTTTTTTTTTTAAGATATTATTTGAGAGAAAGTGAAAGTGAGAGAGATCACGGAGGAAGAGGGAAAGGCAGACTCCAAGCTGAGCGGAGAGCCAGATGTGGGGCTTGATCCCAGGACCCCAGGATCACAACTGAGCCGATGGCAAACACTCTACCGACTGAGCCACCCAGGACCCCAGGATCACAACTGAGCCGATGGCAAACACTCTACCGACTGAGCCACCCCGGTGCCCCTGGCAATATTTTCTTAACATAATCCCTTATGGCCTCTTGGAATACATTTATACTATTTCTCCCACTGCGAGAATATTCATAATAAAGTATGTGATTAAAACTCACTTATAGGGACGCCTGGGTGGCTCAGTTGGTTAAGCAGCTGCCTTCGGCTCAGGTCATGATCCCAGAGTCCTGGGATCGAGTCCCACATCGGGCTCCTTGCTCATCAGGGAGCCTGCTTCTCCCTCTGCCTCTGCCTGCCATTCTGTCTGCTTGTGCTCTCTCTCTCTCTCTCTCTGGCAAATAAATAAATAAAATCTTAAAAAAAAAAAAAAAAAAAAAAACCTCACTTATAATAATATTGCTACTTAAGAGTACATTCCAAATTAGTACATTCACCTTTTCCACTTTGGTCACTTTGCCTCTCAGTGCTTGAACAGAAGTGACTCATAATTTCCCAAAAATCTCCTGTAAGTTGTGATCTCTCTCTGTCAAATAGATAAATAAAATCTTTAAAAAAAAAAAAAATCTCCTGTAAGGGATAAGAAAACATACAATGATATACTGTTCTTTTCCAGTTCCCCCTTTCTACCATCTCCACAGGATCCCCATCCAAACAGCCTCTCTGCCACACTAGTCACCCTTAAAACCCGACTTGTAACTTTCCATAGCGACACTAATTAATGATTCAGAAAATCACTCAATTCACACTTCAGTTTACCCCCAAGAAGTCCAAACCCCCTCAAGAATCTGGACCAGATTCTGGGGCGCCTGGGTGGCTCAGTGGGTTAAGCCGCTGCCTTCGGCTCAGGTCATGGTCTCGGGGTCCTGGGATCGAGCCCCACATCGGGCTCTCTGCTCCGCAGGGAGCCTGCTTCCGCCTCACTCTCTGCCTGCTTGTGATCTCTCTCTCTCTCTGTGTCAAATAAATAAATAAAATATTTAAAAAAAAAAAAAGAATCTGGACCAGATTCTAAGCCACTTTACAGTCTCCCCAGAATCAAAACCACTTAATCATTTTATTTCTTATTGTTCAGCCAAGTTCACATCCTGTCCCTGACCCAGTACTACCACCTATTTCTCTTACCTGGAAGGCCTCTCCGGCCTTTCCCAAATTCTTCCTCTTCGAGGCCCAGATCAAAGTCTGCCACCTCTGCGACAATTCTGTGAAAAGAAATTAACTGAATTCAGTCAGAAGACATGGCCTCTAGCCAACCCTTTTACTATAAAGAAGTCTCAACTAGACTAGTATCATCTACAGGAAAACAGAAAACCGCTGCTGCTGCCTTAACTGAAGTATCATTTTGGTAAGAGAGCTTAGCACAGGAAGGCGTGTGGGCATCCCAGCGGGGTGACAGGACTTGTGGGACCACACTCCCCATGAAGAACGGCGCGCTAAACCACTGGTAGGGTTTGGAGAGGGTCGTGGTCTCCAGTTTTACTGCAGCAGAAAAAGGGCCTGCCAAACACGGGTCCTCTCTCAATTTGGGAGGGAGAAAGAAAGGCCCAGGTGTTCTCGAGATGCAAATCTAACTCAGGTAATTCTGCTTTCGTTAAGAGCAAATGAGTTAACTCTCTTAAACCCGTGTGGGATTGGGATTCGTACCTCCAGGGGCTGTTGGAAGGATAAAATAAGAAAATGTGCTGAGAAAAATGTACTAAGCACTTCACAAAGGGCTGTCGTACTTATAGAAGGCATCTATATACACATATATACACACACACACATATCTGACGACGTCTATTTATGGACAGACTGCGCCCCTGACGTACACCCGAATAGGCAGAAATGCTGGGGGCAGGCTAGCTGCTAACGTGGGGTCCCCGACTTCGGAGGATGTCCTCTTGAAGTCTGATGCAGAATTTGGTGCTAGATTGTGTTGATAACACTCTGCGAAAACGACTCCTTGTTTGCATCAGGGTCCGAACACAGTTCGTGAACCAGAACAGGCGGGGAAATACTGAGCGCAGGGAAGGAGGATTAAGGGGCAGGGAACTGGGGGATGAGCGAAGGAAAGGCCTCGGCACCACAGGGGAAGTACAGATTACCAGCGCGGGTCGCGGCCTGCTCCCCTACCTCCGGGAGGTCTGAGTGGGCGTGAGGCCCGCCTCTGACTCCCTCCTCTCTGCTCCTCGGGTCTCGCGAAGGGCTCAGGTGTCCCTCCTACTTTCAGAACCCCGCGCCACGAGCGGAAACCCGCGGGTCCTCAGGGGTAGCAGGCGGGACCAGTCTTCAAACCACGCGCGAGGGCGAGGCCAAGGCCACAGCGCGGGGGCGGGGGGGCGTGCCGACAGGAAGGGACGCTCAGGCCTATGAAGGAGCGGCATAGGGGCGACGGGGGCGGAAGAGGAGTGCGCCGGGGCCTATGAGGTAGAGGCATATGGCAGGCAGGGGGCGGGGAGGAGAGTGCGCCGGGCCTATGAGGGAGAGGCATGGGTGGGTGGGAGTGGGAGAGCGCCTGGGCTGGAGGAACAGGTCTCCCGAGCAAGAAGAAGGGAGCGGGCCCGGGGCGGGGCCTAGGGGGCGGGCCCTAGGGGCGGGGCCTCCCAGGAGTACACCTTTTTGGGCTGCGGGCAGAGGCCGCTGTTTAGGAAGCCTAACGAGTGCGAGAGGAATCCGTACGTGGCTGTTGTTTGGAGGCTGTGCGGTGAGTGCTGCCATTGGCCCTTCCCGCCGCGGCCCTTCCCGCCGAGGGAGCCCTGGGCCCGCTCCCTCCATCCTCCCAAGCTCTGCGCCCGCCCCGGCGACCTTCCCGGGCCTGCAGCTGCTCCCGGGAGGAGGACGTGGGCACGGTCCGTGCAGCGGATCCTTTGTTATGGCACCACGACGGGTGCGAGAACGTGCACTGAAGCCTGCTTAGCGAGACACCCGAGGGGGTGGGCGAGACCAGGGGATGTGGAGGCCGAGAAACGGAGATCTGGCTGGTGATACGAAGCCCGGAAAACTGGAGGATTGAGAGGCAGGGCCAGGAGCGTCGAGGCTGGGTTGCAGAAGAGTCTGGCCCCGGGGCCCCGGGGTGAGGGTGGGGGGCGCCGGGGCCGGGTGGTAGGAGATTGGAGCGGGAGCCGAAGGCAGCGGGATGCTTGAGAAGTGAGGGTGGCTGGGACCTTGGGCTGAAGTTGGGTCGGGAAAAGAGGAGCGGATGACCCGCGCCAAAAAAACGGAGCCTCGAGAGGGCGGGAGGCGAGCCTGGTGCTGCTCAGAGTCGCGGACTGATCCTCCTATTACTGGAAGAGGGCTGGGTCTCTGCTGCTTTCTCTGTCTCGGGCCTAGATTTTTTCGGGCTGATTGTGTGACTCAGTTTTCCAGAGAAGTAAATTCCAAGCACTGAATTCCATTTCCTTGTCAGACCCGCAGGCTTCCATAATTCCTTGCAGCTCTTCCCTGTGATTATGTATCTGTTGCCAAAGTCTCCTGGGAGCTGCTTTAAAGTCCCCTCAGGCCATGTTGAAAAGGGTGCCTTTCCCAACCCTCCTCCCTCTTGATTTCAGTGGGTCTGTTCTAAAGCCATGCAGTAGTTGCCCCTGTCCCTGTACTCAGTAAGTGGCATCCAAGCCAAAAATGAGCGTTCTCAGCTACCTCTCCCTCCCTGTTCCTTCCCCAATTAGCCATCAAGCCACCAGGACCTCCTAAATATTGGTGAGCTCTGTCCACTCCTCTCCATTTTTGAGAACCACCCTAGGCTCTTACCTAGCTACAGCGGCCTCCTTATTGGCCTCCATACTTCCAGACCCTTCCCCCTGCCCTCCATTCCATTCTTCACAGCGCAAGCTGAATGATCTTTATAAAATAGAATTCTAGAAGGCTGCTCCGTTGGGCATAGGACAAACTCCATCCCTTTAACAAGGCTAACAAAGCCAAGCATAGGTTGGCGCCTTGGTCCCCTCCCTTGTTTTATCTTTCTTTATATCACCATTTCATTTACTGAACAGCCAGGCTGATCTTCAGACCTATTCTCTGCCTGGAACACTCTGCATTCCCTCTTTCCCTTCACTGCATCACTTTCACTTGAGGAACTCCCACTTAGGTTTCTGTTCTCCTTAAGTACTTCAAGGTTAAGTCTTCTATTATGAGTTCCTTTTGCATCCTACATTTCATAAAAAGCAAATGGCATATCCTTTGCAGTTGCTTGTCTACAATCTTCCCTAATAGTTTGTAAGCAAATTCCATGAGGAACTATATTTATCTTGTTATTTTGTTGTTCCTTATTGTTTTTCTCCATATATATAGGGTCTGGCACAAGTAATACCCACACTACAATATTATGCTTTTTAATAATTATGCCCTATCTAGAAAAAATAAACCTATTTGGGGTTTACTTAGCAAACTATAATTTAAAGATGAGAATTAGAAAGAAATGGTAGAAGTGAAATATGGAGTCGCTGTGACAATGTGAATTTGCAAGATAGTAACACATGCTAAGGAAGGTGGTGCTCAGCCACTTTGTGGTGGAGTTACATGATCTCCAAGAATGACTGTAAAGCTTAAGTCTTCCTTATCACTACCTAATGTTTGAGCTTTGGTTTTGCTTTGCTCTTTTGCAAAAAAAGGCTTTAAAAGTTAAAATATGTTTTAATGAACAATTACTGGAGTGTGGCAATAAAACCTGTTCACAGTAAAAAGAAAAGAACCATTGTACCTAATTAAATCAGATTTGCTTTTGCTCTTTAAAAAGGGCCTTGCTTCCTGCCCGTTTAAGAAACTGACATGTTATCTGATATAGGCAGTTACAGTATTTCTTTACTGTTCTGCTTTCAAATGCAATTTCACACAATCTACTGCTTCATCCCCCTCCAGAGCTAAAAGGCAGACTTTATTTTCATGTATGGCTTTAAAACAATTTTGGTGCCTATTATTAGATCTTTAAACTCTGCCTCAAATAGGGGAAGCACTGGTGTTTGGGCCCCAACAAAGAGGTGGGAATTCTTAGACTGTTAAATAATGTTTTGTACACATGTAACAAATGTAGTGGAGGGGAACAGGTAGGTACTTTGTTGTCAGACCACTCCAGGCCAAGTCCCAAGGTTGCCACTTACTAGCTCATTCATAAGTTAGGCATAAATCATATATACACACCTCACAGGGTTATTGGGATAAAATGAGATGTCTGTTGACTATGCTTTGTAACTAGATAATGTTACTTCTCTGCCCATTTTGTTCTTGCCTGCAAATTGCTTATAGAGCTTCTGAATTAGTGTAGAGTAAGATAAACTTCTCTGATCCCTACTGAGCACTGTCTGGCAATTGCCCTGTGGAGCTGAATAAGGGAGTCCAGGTGTGAGTCCCACACAGGGACAGGCTCCTTGGCTCTAACCACAACTCCATACACAGTTTTACTGCAGCGCTCTGTACACAGTTCAGTAAATTATGACAGTGCCAGTGACAAATGAATAAATACTACTGACTACCGACTCTGACTTTTCCCAGTTTCAAACCTGCCCTGGCAGGCAGAGTTTCTTTAATCCAGTGGTTGTAAACCAGAATGTGCTTCTATAGAGGAGTTGTTCTGAGCAGAAGGGAGGAGACTTTGTAGATTGTAATTTTTATAAAAGGCATCCAAGATCCTTCATTCCATATTTATTTTATACAATATATGACTTTAAACAGTGGGGAAACAATTCCAGCCTGTCTTCCTGGTCCTGGTGCCCTTCCAGAGAAAAGGAAAGAATGGTTTGATCTGTTTGTACGGCACAACTGAACTTAGTTTAGTTTACTCTGTTTTATTTTACTTGCTGCTCAGTGTGTTTTCACCTTAATTACAAAGTAAATATTAAGAGATTGACTACCAGGTCTAATGGCAATGTCCAATTTGGTGATTCTTAAAATTCCCCAGAGAAATTCAAAGACCAGATGGGAATTTTCAATAAAACCTCTAGTACATTACAGCTGAAATCTGTTCTTATCCAAACTATTGTGAGAGGTCTGTTCTTTCTGTTTAAGTTACTAAATCTGGGTATGTTGACTGCTTTTGAGACTTTGTCCTCTCTAATAGGTCCTTTAAAAAAAAAAAAGATTTTATTTATTTGACAGAGATCACAAGGAGGCAAAGAGGCAGGCAGAGGAAGAGGAGGAAGCAGGCTCCCTGCTGAGCAGAGAGCCGGATGCAGGGCCCAATCCCAGGACCCTGGGATCATGACCCGAGCCGAAGGCAGAGGCTTTAACCCACTGAGCCACCCAGGTGCCCCTCTAATAGATCCTTTCTAATAGGTCATAAATACAATCCTGATGTTTCTCAAACTCTTGGCAAAAGTATAGCCTTCCCAGAAGTCATAATGGAAAGGCTTCACTTTGACTTTATAGGCATATAGAAAATATCTTAATAACATGAAACCAGATATTTGACTTTTTGAAAGAGATTACCCAGTGGTATCAAAAACACCATAACTGTCATTCCTATTTTGTTCATTAATTAGAACAATTAATAGTTATACTATTTCAGTATCTCTGCTGTCAGTTTCTGTCATGTTCTTTTTGTTCTCTGTCTCATCTTAATGAGAGCTTTTAGGTTATGGATTTTAGTTTCCTTCCTTGAAACTCTGGAGAGTATTACCCTAGTCATGTGGAGGAGTGGGAGTCTGCCCTCTCAAGGCAGACAGATCCTGGTTTGAGGACTAGCCAGAAAGACCTGAGTAAATAATAAATGTGTACCTAAATAAGTAAAAGTACCTTTTGGCTCAGAGGCTAGCCCAGACGAGCCAGCATCAAGAGGAACTGTTTGTTACATGACACTTGTACACAACCCTCAAATCACATATGGCATTGTGATTCTTTGGCCGTTTCTTTGGCTATGTGTTTTGGTAAATCTTTACTCATAATTTTTTTTTTTTTTTAGATAGACCCATGATCCATGATAGATGATTCATAAGTGAGCAGTATTCATTCTGATGTCACGTTTGGAGATTTCAAACCCCTTTGAAACCAGGCGTTATCCTTTGCCTCAGCTTCCTTTTAGGACAGGCCCTAGGAATAGGCTACTGCTGTGTGACAAGTTAGCAGAGTAGAATCTGGCAAACTGTTACTACTAATTTAATGTCTTATTTTGAAATCTCTATCATGGGCACACTTTCAAGCTATTCGTTTATAATAATAGAGTTTTGTGGGCTTTTAAATTTTTAACACTTTATAACTTGATACCGAAATTTCAGTTTTAGAAATTTATTTTCAATCTGCTGCCTTCACTGTAGATCATTTATCCTGCTTTACTGCATTATTGCAATATACAATGGTCTCTTTAGTCGGCTAACTAGCATATAAATAGGAAAACATTATGACTTTTCACTTGTTTAGGAAAACAGCATGAAATGTTTAAATACCTATTTTAAAGTGACCATACATTTATACCAACAACCTTTTTTTTTGTTTTTGTTTTTGAAGATCTGACTGTTTGTAGCAGCTTCAGTGGCAAGCATTAAAGGGGTCTAGGAACTAGAAAAGTGAGTCTAAGACCCAAGTTCTAATTGCCATCTAATGCCAGTTGGTCTATTGCAATTTCTCCAGGATCTAATATATGTTTAGAAATGTATTTTATTATCAGCAGCATCCTGAGTTGATGGAAAGAATTACATACATCAGTACAGGAGAATCAGTGATAATTTCATTGCTGTGCCAAGATATATTTTTTTAACTCTTTTGGTATGTTTTCCCACT